AAAAAAAAAAAAAAAAAAAAAAAAAAAAAAAAAAAAAAAAAAAAAAAAAAAATATGTTTTATTATGAAACACACGTTTCCGGGGCGTTATGAAAAAACTAATCTCCAAAAAGCCATATCACTAAAGATCATGACCCCATCGGATGACAGATCGCCTCGGGTCTGATCGACTGCTACAGTTCAAAGCACTGCTGGCACAAGTACCCGGGCACCCTGGAGCTGCTGGATAGCCTGCATGGTCGGCGTGACCTCGTCCTCGGCGTCGTCTCGAACTTTGACGAGCGGCTCGGGATTGTCCTCGACTCGACTGGGCTGCGCTCGTACTTTGCCTTCGTCCTCACCTCGTACGGTTTTGGGATCCAGAAACCGAGCCCGGCCATATTTCAGGTATACCACTCGATATCCAACATTATAGGATTTTCATATACGGAGCGTTTAAAGTGTACGGTATGCTTGTCTCGGTTCACAGGAGGCACTGCGGCTGGCGTCCCTGGGACTGAGCCGGGAGATCAGGCCCGAGGAGGCCGTGCACGTTGGCGATCGGCTGGACAACGATTTTTTGGGGGCACGTGGGGCAGGCTGGAACGCAGTTTTGATCGATCGCGACGGCAAGAACGAAGAAGACCAACGGCTCGGCTCGAGAGACGTCGTCGTCGACTTTCGGGGCCTGAAGGAGTACTTTGACCGTTTGTTCGACAAGAAGGCGGTCTGCGACCGGTGATCGGTCCAAGCACGTTATTGCTCTCTGTTGGATCGAGGAGCAAACTTTTTTTTTTTTTTTTTTTACACAATTCTGATATTGTATATGTATACCGGTGCCAGAGATGTATTTCTCCTACCTGAGGGCCAAAGCGACGCATTTTTGCCTATACTTTTGTTTTGATTTTCGCTATTTCTTTTTTTGTTCTCTAACAAAAATTAAAAAAAAAAAAAAAAAGTTAAGTAAACTCTTATTTTACGACTCATAATCAACTTACGCGGAAGCGCCACCGGCAATCTTGATAAAGTGGGCGAAGCTTTATATTATGGTGACATTATTTTAATTTTTTTAAAAATCAACGCTTGGAATTGAAGAGATTTAAAACACAAAAGTGTTAAAAGAGGAAAAAATTTAAATACGGAAAATTCAGAATGTGCAATAAAAAGCAGTGCAAAATGCGATTGTCACCTGGTTTTGTTTGCTGCTCGAACTTGCAAGTAGCGTAACGGCGCCAATTTTATCGGTTTGAATTTTAGGCAAGTTTGGAACATTTAAAATATCAATCGTAATTGGTCAAACTCGCCTGACGTTAAAACCTTTTTTTTCGTATAAGAATAGCATATATAGATTAAAACTCGACTTGCATTTTTTACCTGTGTATTCAGAGGGAATCCCAGTATATACATGTGCGACCGTAAACTCACGAATGTCTGTTTACTTTCTAATAATTAGGTTAAATTTTTGTGTACCATTTGATAAAATATACCATGTAATATTATAGATCTTTTATTTTTTACGGTCCGACTACTAAGATTTTTACTATTAAGGCAAACGAGCCGTGGTACCTTACAAGATTAATGAATGTTATTTTTAACGATCTGATATGCAATGTTTTTGATATTGTGTTACTATCACAGCGCTTCTGTACATCGCATCACAAGTTTGAGAAAGGAAATACATTTTTTTTCTTTTTTTTAGACAGTAATTGTACATACACATTATGCGAAGTATTATGTATTATTCCATTTGTTAAGCATTGATTAAAGTATTGTGTAAAAAATAATGAAAAAAAAAAAAAAAAAAAAAAAAAAAGGGGGAAAAGAAGAAAAAAAAAAAAAAAAAAAAAAAGTTGGCCCTAGTGTACCTACTATACAATACCCATACGAGTCTTCGTTTTCAAAGTGAACAGTGAAGTTGCACGGTCG